TTGATGTATTTAAGAGATGTAAGCAAGTAAGATCAGTAACATACTGATATGCATACTCAACTACTCATACAGTTATGTATATTATTAATTAAAGTATAAAACGGGCCTTTATTTTTCATCGCCTCATAAAACTTTAGTTATAACCGGCTTCATTATATTGTGCGGTCACCACCTACCCTCACTGTGCCATGATTTAATGTGGGGGCACACTGTACCTTTCGGGTTGTTTGGTTGATGAAAAATATAAAACCGCATTAAATATAGCACATGTTTTGTAATGTATGCAAATACGTTTGTTGTAATTTTATAATAATATTAATATATTTATTTGTCAGATTATGGTATGTACAATGGTACTTGTTTAAACAAGCCATTATATGGCACCTTATAATTTTTATTGTTGCTTAGTTACCGTTGCTAGGCAACCGTTGTTGATTTCGTGTCGTGAAAATGCAACCGAACATTGTACATTTGAATTGAAATAAAATTAATTTTTAAACATGAATAGCGTTTAATCATACTAATTATATATAATGTAAGTTTCATCAGTTACAGCGTACAAATATTAATTTCGTAATCCAAGCATTAAAAAATACATTATAAATTCTAAACATGCGTACATAATTATTATTTACGTTGCGTATTTTTTTAATGGATCATAATGAAATGGGGCACCCGCCTGGGCTAACGGTTTACGCCGTCGGGGCACCAGTGGAGGATGATAAGATGAACATCAGGTCAGGTCAGTTAGCCCATCGTGACAAATTCACCACGAATTTATCAGGATGGTTTCCAGGCTTACAATATATTCATTAGTTCAGTTTACCACAGTTAAGAGAATTCTACATAACATTACTAATAATCACATTTCTCTTACATTACGTATTGTTACGCGGCAGATTCCGTTAGGTTTAAAAAATTTTACAATTATTACAAAAGACCATTATTATAATGAAATGATATTTATTCAGTAGCAGAAAAAATTAAACATACAAACATTACACAAACAAAAAAAATAAATAACAAAAAGTGCGACAATTACAAAAAAAAAAACAGTTCACAAATTACGTGTATGTGCGTGAATGTGTATGTCTGTCGAAGCATCTACTGAATAGGTCCGTGCTCGGCATAATGCTGCAGCGGCTGGAGCGCTGCAACGCTGTTTTTCGGCACAAGACCTGGACCTGGGGTAGTGTATTGCCGTGCCGATTTATGATATGATACACTAAATATATAATAAATTGATATAAATATAAGACAAAATAACTCATAATATGACGGGCTTAGTGGTCTAGCACAATCTTACTTCCGAAGATTTCGGCTTCGACTTCTCGCCATGTGCAAGTATTTGTATTCATGAGTAGCATAATAAAACATTTGTATTGATCTGAGTGTTTACTATATATATTATGTACTAGCTTTTGCTCGCGGCTTTGCTCGCGTTAATTTATTCCTTTCGGGGTAGAATTTATCAAAATCCTTTCTTAGGCGATGCCTTCATCATAATAGCAATACATCCAAAATCTCAACCCGATCGGTTTAAAATTGACAAAGTTTCATACAAAGTTTCATCCCCTATTTTATCCCCTTAGGGGTAGAATTAATCAAAATCCTTAGCGTTCCTTTCGTTCGTCATAACATCTAACTGCATGCCAAATTTCAGCCCGATCCGTCCAGTGGTTTGGGCTGTGCGTTGATAGATCACTATGTCAGTCAGTCACCTTTGAGTTATATATATTTAGATGTATGCAGAAAAAATGTATTTATGTATTTTTATCAGTGAGTACTGATAGAAAAACTGTAACTAACCATAACAAAAGTTCTGCTTAACTTGGGACTAGTTGGCGCTATATGAATTGTTCAGAGTTAATATTATTTTGTCAAAATTACTTAGGCGACAGGCGGTGTGATAATGCATACCCCATCATCAACCTAACTGATTACGGACAGTGCAGCTTGTTGCAGAAGTTTCGTCCCGCATACGCTCTCATTTTAGAATGAACTATCTGCAGAAGATTTCTCTAGATACTTATAGTACAATATTCACTTAGTACAGGGTTCAAAAAAGGTATATTAAGATTACTTGACTACGGCAACAATTTACCATCAAATAATATGCTTATTTGCCACCAATGTGGTATAAAAAGTCGTTCTTCTCGCCATATTTAATAACAATTTGAAGCCATCGCGTTGTCAAGAGGTAAACAAACAAATTCACCACTAGATTTTTAGTACTATTCATTACTTTACTGCGTAAATACAGCTCCAGACAGAATCCCAAAGAGTCTCAGTGTCACTCGAGTCCTGCGTCACCGGCAGTTATATAAATCTGTTTATTTTCATACACTTTTATTATTCTTCCGTATTATTTATACATACGGGCCGTGTGGGCCGGTCTAGCGCCAGAAACCACTAACAATGAAATAGAACTGTCCATAACGTTTTACAGTTGGCTCACTGATTGTTAAATGTGTGTAAATACATATAAAACAAATGAACGAGAAACATATAAAAAACCAAATTCTACGAAGCATTTTTATGTTGTTATTAAATTTTACTAGTAGCCGACCAGTGGTAGAAATTCGACCATAATCAAAAATACAAATAATCTTTGAACACGCAATAACAAATGTATATTTTTTAAGAATAAAGTAAAGAGAATATATGTAGGTGTGTTCAATATATGATAATATGTGTAATTTTTTTTTTATTAATGTAATAGATTTTTATGCCTAATATTAAAAAATATTAGGCATTCTGCACTCTTTCTCTACATAGACTGTTAACAGTGAACTATCCATAACGTTTTACAGTTGGCTTACTGATTGTTAAATGTACGTAAATACATATAAAACGATAAAAATGAACGAGAGAAATATAAAAACCCAAACACCTCGAAGCATTTTTATGTTGTTTTTAAATTTTACTAGTAGGTATCGGCCCAGTGGTCAAATTTCAATCATAATAAAAAATACAAAAGAAACTTTCAACACGCAATAACTAATATATATTTTTTAAGAATAAACAAAGAAGTATATTTGCGTAGGTATGTGTGTTGAATAAATAATATAGTGTGTAATGATTTTTTGTTGATGTAATATATCTAAATATATGTAACTCAAAGGTGACTGACAGTGATCTATCAACGCATAGCCCAATCCACTGGACGGATCGGGCTGAAATTTGGCATGCAGGTAGATGTTATGACATAGGCATCCGCTAAGAAAATATTTTGATAAATTCCACCCCTAAGGGGATAAAATAGGGAATGAAAGTTTGTATAAATCTTCTTACATTTTGTAGGCCCTAATTTTTTACACACGCTAAACAAAAGTAAAGCCGCAAAAACTACACTCAATAATAATATTTACTACTGCGAGCGAAGCCGCGGGCAAACGCTAGTTTTTTATATGCATAATAAAAAAAAAAACTTTCTGCTCTCCTTCTCTACAGTGTGCGAAATGTCATATTCCTCTTTCAGACAAATTCTACCTCGGTATAAATGATAATGATATAGGAGTTGTAAGGTTTAATGATCCGCAACACGCACAGTGTTTCAGGTGTCCATATGATACTATAACCGTTTACCATCAGATGGGCCATATGCTTGCCACCATTGTAATATAAAAAAAGAATTCCGGAGCTTTAATCGATATAAAGATGTCACTCGCTAAGACGTTAGATTTGGTAGAAAAAAACTAAATAAAGGAATGGGGATGGATGTCGTGAGGAATAGAGGAAACGAACGCCGAGATTTATTAAGGAAAGTAACAACATAAAAACAGAACATTAATTTCGTCTGTTTGGTTTTGTGTTGACTTCGTTCCTTCTACGACTTGGCACATATGTTGTCATTGTGAGCAATAAATCTTACTGATATTATAAACGCGAAAGTTTGTGAGTATGGATGGATGTTTGTTACTCTTTCACGCAAAAACTACTAAACGGATTTTTATTAAACTTTTCAATAATGTAGCTTATACATCAGAATAGCATATAGGCTATAAATTTCACCCGGGTAAATCCCAGGGCTCAACTTGTACTATATATTATAACAAAAGACAACACTAGTGACCTATATGTTTATTTACTTATAGACCTGAGGTCACAATACTAATTTTTATATATAAATATAACTATGATTATTGCTGTACTCACTCTCGCTTTTATTTGAAAGAGAAAGAGAGGGCACAGTGATCCAAGCGAAGCCATGGATGACATATTGCTATGAATGTTACAAAAAATAAGTAGGTATAGTATGCGAAGCTAGTCCAGAAGACAGCATTACACAAAAATTGCATTAAAAAAATTAACTTCTTAGCACTCCATAGATTCACTATACCGGTGCCGGGTTTACGGTGTGGCGAGAGGTATACTCAGAGTAATTCCTGGGACTGACACCCGGGTTTAAAGGGCCCTTGCCAACGTACGCCAACACTCTATCATACGCCCATTCTTGTTATGCGATATATATGTATTTTAATATCAAATTTGATTAGTAGGGAAAAAAATATAGAAAATCTGATGTTCATGAGCGAGTAAAATGTCCTACATGAATAAATGATTTTTGAATTAAATTTGAATTTGATTACATACTTTTTTAAATATGACGCTATCATCATTTATATGTACAATTAAGGAAAATCACGGGATTTTATCATCCCTATTTATTTACCTATGATCTTTTCTTCTTCATCTTTAATAAAAATAAAAACATACAAAATGTGGTAAGATCCTGTTATTTTTGCTAATTGTATGTACGTATAAATTTTATTACTATCAGTTGAGGCGTTTGACAATAATAATCGTGATAAAATAACAGACATACAACCACTGTAATAAAATATTAGTATAGATTATAAATAAAACGTTTTATTGGAACATTCTCACAAGTATGTACGTATATTCTTCAAGATTTCCTCTTGCGTTTACGGCTCGGATTATGTTACCTGTTTCGATTCGACTATAAATCTACAACCATTTCCCTACAAGTTGCATTTATGCCTGCTATCTATCAGGTATAAAGAGTTATACATTTTTCTTTATACACCGTTAGTCATAAAGTGTACAAAAGCTATAAACTTGTGATTCACGAAACTAAACAATCCTTACAGAGAAATGAAATTATTGTTTAAAACTTTGAATAATCTTATTTTTTTATATTAATGTGAAAGTTTGTGAGTATGGATGGATGTTTGTTCCTTTTTCTAAAAAACTATTGAACGGATTTTGATGAAACTTTACAGTAATATAGCTTATACATAAGAAAAACATATATGCTATAAAGTTCATGCGAGTGAAACCGCGGGGACAGCTTGTAATGTTATAAAATAGTTTTTAATTGTCTGACTAGTTAAATCTACATACCGTTGTCAATTACATTATGTATATGATTAATCGAATGTCTATCTGTCGGCCTGATGGCTTGGCTCTTTAGCACAAGTCTGCTTAGCTTGGGACAATTCACACACCATCCTTAAAAAAAAACATTACATATTCTACCCCTTTCATACAAATATTATATTTTAAATTAATAATGTTTGTAACTGATTTGTATGTTGCCAGCGTGTGTGGAGGAGGAATGCCTAGACTGGGAGGGCAAGTCGGTCCCCCACGGCCTGCTGTACGTGCCCGGCCCAGGAGTCTGTTCCCTCTGTGTGTGCTACCACTCTGAGCCGATGTGGTGCAAAGCCATATACTGTGATCCGCCTTATGTGAGTATCATTTATATGAATTCCACAATCAAGCATACGGCTCGACATATAACTAAAACCAGTCCTAAAAGCAACACCACTTGATTGTTAGTAGAGGATTACGGGCTCAATGGCTGCCTTCACACGTTACTTCTTTCATCTAGCACAGTGATTCCCAAAGTGTGGCCCAGGTCCCGTAGGGGGACAATTCGAAAATAGACTCTACCAAAATTATGAATTTGAAAATTTGCTTACTGTTTCAATTATAATGTCCTGTGATCTTCCTAAAACCTGTTATTTAAGTTTCTTAAGTAAAAGAATTAAATTTTTCAGATTGTTAATAAGGCAATTCGAATATGTAAGGAGTCCATTTTCGAATTGAAAAATTAAAATTATGAATATGAATAAAAACTTACTTACTGTCTCTTACTTAATTACAATTTCCATAGTGATCTTTCTAAAACCTGTTATTTAAGTTTCTCAAGTGAATAGTTAAATTTTTCAATGTTATGAATTATATATATTAAGTAGGGGGAAAGGAGGGTGGCATAAGAATTTTAGAATGTCTAAGATGTGGCATGGCACTAAAAAGGTTGGGAAACACTGATCTAGCGTATCATGGAAGATTACAAGCTATATAACATTACGCTACGACCAATAGGAGCGGAAATGCAACTAAAACTGTTGCAAAAACGGGGAAAATGTACGCAGAAGAAGTCGCACGGGTCGGCTAGTGTTGAATATATGGCTGTATACGTACATAAATATAATGTATAGGCAGTGCGCATGCAAAGCTGCGCGCGCAACTTAAATATGTCACTTTCTTGTCTCATATAAAATTAAATTAGATAAACGTTTGCTTTGTTATTATATAAATATAATCCAGATCAAGTCCATAAGTACATATAAATTATTAAATTTTGCTGTAAAATATCGTAGTCCTAAAAGAAAATGTATGTCCTATAAACACATTTCGCGATGATTTACTACTTCGGTAACAAATTTTAAATATAGCACTATGAAATAAAATAATACATAAAAGTAAGGTCACGTAATAATTTATCGTGTTATAACTTGCCAAATGTGGGCCGAAATAACCGTTGCCAAAGTATTGAATGCACAGTGGGTACTTAAAATATATTATTTATTACTTGGTGTGACAAGTAGACGACTAATATTTGTTATGAATAATAAAAATTGTGTGGTAATCTTATATATATATATATATATATATATATCTACAGGCTAAGGGGCAATTAGTGAAAAGATTCAGAAGATGACGGTCAGTTACCCCACTGTGGTCAATTCTTAAAAAAAATACTTTGAAATATATCCTACACAGCTTTACTAGAAGCACAGATAACATAATATTACTAGAAGGGACGTTCCCTTCTAGTAGGAGTAGTGTTTCCTTTTTAGTGTCATGCTCCATCTTATGTAACATACATAATTATTAACATAAAAAAATTTATACATTCTCTTAAGAAACTTTTAGGAAAGAAAATTTTAGGAATAAATCACTAAGAAATTGTTAATAAAACAGTAATTAAATTTTTAAAACAATGAAAAATTCAAAATTTCTTTCCATATAATTTTAATAAAGAGTCCATTTTCGAATTGCCCCCCTATTGAGCTTGGGCCTTGCGTTGAGAAACACTGGTCTAGAGTATATAGCTTATAAGTAAAGCTTCATTAGAAATCGTGAAATCATAAAGTAAACATCATATATAATCATCACTATTTACCAAAAAAGTTAAAGAAGATAAAGTAAAAAGAAGTCGGAATAAAAATACAATGTCATCACTCGTTTTCAAGCGTAAGATGTCATGAGGACCGTATAAGAGAACAACTCACAAACACATGGAATAGGTAAAAGAAAAACTGAAATTAAATTCCTTTGCTAATAAATATACGTAGTAACAGTACGCTAAATAAATTTCATTCGATAACAAAGAAATCTTCTGAAAGGAACATCGGGCCTACCTAGGTACGGGACGATAATGGATTGTTATGATGACCTAAAAATTCTGAAATGGACTCTTCCAAATCACTAGCCACTTAAGAGTAGTGTAGACAATTTATTGTAATAGTCTCGACGTCAATAAAGTAAAATGTACTTCTACATTGCGTATTTTGTATGAAATTCAGATTTGCCTAAAACTTGTACTTCTACATTGCGTATTTTGTATGTAAATTCAGATTTGCCTAAAACTGCAGTAAGTTCTATACTAGAACGTGTATCTAAAGCTGCACTAGCAGGCTCCTACAAGATTTGTTTGGGCAGGGAGAGAAACATGTGCAATGAAGGTGAGTGTTGACGTACGTCTTCAAATCCACACCCGGGTCATAAGTCCCGGGAACTGCTCAGAGTTTCCCTCTCTCCACACGATGAACCCGGCACACGTACAGTGAATCCAGGGAAAGCCAAGAAGTTCATCTCTCTCTTTTTTCTTTAAGAGAGAGCATATTAATAATCTGGAGAGTCAGTCATATTTAAACATAGAAATTGCAACAAAAACAACTGCTCAGAGTTTCTCTCTCTGCAAAAAGATGGACTCGGCACAAACACGCGAATTCTTAGACTGCTAAGAATTTCGTCTCGTCTCTTTAATTTATGTTTCCGCTTGTTTACAGTTTTGTAAAAACTTTCGAGTCGGCGAGCGATGTTGCGAATTCGAGTGCCTAGACCCACCCGGCGAAGACACCAGGTAAATGTGACACCACACTAATTTTATATATCTATTAACTTCGTAAACTTTTCTTTATAAGTGATTATCTTTTTATTGTAAATCAATTCTTACCACCAACGAGGATCAGTTGAGCAAAATAGTTACTAGCTCTCAGAGTCTCAGAGAGAGATAGAGATTACGAATGGAACAAATACATAAATACTCGGTGCCGATAAGTCCGTCCTTGGTTTTATTTTAATTTTTGGTCATCTCTGAAACCAAACCATATCAAAATCCATAGAATAAACTGTTTTATGGCAAAATGTAATCTGTGGAGCACAAAATAAAAGAAACGCTCTTAAAGTGTTAGCGCATTTCATATATCCCTTTTTTAATAGTTGTCTCTTCTCCTACTTCTAAAATCCGACAACACACATGAAATTCCATTAGTGTCAGAACGACGGTAATCTCTTACCATCATCCAGAAGTCCACACTACTCAAGCCACCGTTCCGCGGCCTGCGGGGGCGCTGCGCATCGGCAACTGCGGCCGGTGCCGGACACCGGCACTTCTTGTCCGACCGGAACCAACACTTACCGGCTTACAAATAATTCCACCTTTCTTAATTTAATGTACATCTGTCTATCTTTCATAACTGTTTTCATATTATATATATTAATCACAGTCCACTAGTTTTATTGGCTATCCAGGACTTAACACCCCTATATTATAAAAATACTATTTTATGTTTGTTATTATTTGTTTAATTATTATACTTGTAGAGTTATTATATGTGGTTTTTCAAATATCCTGCATAGAAAAGTCGAGATATTTTAAGAGAGGTATTAATTAGCTTATTTATTCTGGACTGCAGGTACCGGGAACGGCAGCGTCTTCGGGCTTTAATCTTAGCTGGAAACTCGTCGGCGGCGCACATCGCCCCCTCACTTGAACTTAAAGCCGGAATCTCTCTTCTGGCCGTCGCCGTCGTCAGATTCGTATGAGATCCGGTATAAAATAAATTCTAGGTTTGGATTTCTAAAATCCTTGGATCGTTAATCCAGCTGGAAAAATAAAGAAGTGTTCAACAATCTCATAAAAAGATGGACGAAATGGTTACTTATTAGTATTTTAAAATTCTGCGGCCTGATAAATCTACAACACGTGATATTAAAGAATAAGCTCACCACACTTTATTTATAATTTTGATTTTCTAATATTTCAGCAGAGATGTAAACAGTCATAATAACCTTATGTAAATTCATAACAATTTCAAGAAATAGGCTATAATGTTCAACGATAGAGCAAATAGTAGTCCATACAAAGGTCTAACACCATCTATTTGGTCCTGTGATCCTGTGATCTAGAGGGCATACGATGAACCAAGACCTTTTGCTGCCTAATTTAGTTAAATAGCCATTATATTAAAGTGTGTGTTCTTTAAATATATAATTTTCATTAATCATCATCATCATCATCGCAGCCAGGATGATGTCCACTGCTGGACATAGACATAATTTTAATTGGTAGTAAATTATTCTTATTAAATAATAATTTGCAATTTGTATGACATTTAACATTTGCAATTACGGGCTATACAACATATCTTGTAACTGCAACTCGTAATCTACTTAAAATTCAGAATTGTGCAGTAAAGTTATACAATATAGCGTTGTTCTTTAATATTACGTGGATAAACGCGTCAAATGAAATAAAAATAAACACTTAGGTGCTTACCTCAAATTTACTATGTCCAAATGTAATATAAAATCACTTGCAATATCGACTCTCACTCGAGTATTAAACCTCATCGGTATAAGTACCTAATTTAGAGTCAAGAATATTTTTTTATTAAATAAAATTAGTGCTAAGAATTATTAAAATAAAGTACCACCGCTTTGGCATGAACTTCTCGATTTCAAATTTGGAAGCAGAGTCCAAATTATTACTAGAATAATTATTTATTATTACATTTAAAGAACATTTCTGGTTGCATCGTTGAAATATTATAATAATTATTTATTATTACATTTTAAAAAGTTTTAAATTAGATTGGATGAAGGTGATATGAAATACATAGATAGATATAAATAACCATTATTAATATAACTTATTTGATCATTATTATGGAGCAATCTCACAATATTATTTTAAACATTTTTCTTCTTCGTTTATAATAATATGCGTTATATAATCGGGACATTTGCCGTGTTATTTTATTTCGGTCCATCCAGCTGCCAAAAAAAAACAAATAATTTAACTTATATTTAATTTATTAATAAAATACTACATTTTAAGTTACTAACTATAACTAAAACGAATGAAATCGTAGCTTTCTGGTCGCCCATATAAACAACATTTATTTATTTACATTCTGTCTTCTCTCCTCTACCCAAAGGTTGTCTGGATGAGATTGCTTACGCGATAAGAACTGCCTTTTGTACTTTATTACATCTGTATATGTGTTTTTGTAATATACTTCTGGTGCAGTAAAGAGCAAATAAATAATCACGGTAAATATCCAGTTTGTATAAAATGTTACTGAAAAAATAATATAAAAATAGAAAACAAGTCGATTTGTCAGAGGAATCTAGCATATATATAAGTTTTAAAGTAAATGTTTTATATTCTTTCTCTAAATATAGCAAACATAAAAGTCGCTTCGTCTCAACCGACATGCTAACAATTCTAAATTGCAACAGATTAAAATGAATAAGTTTGTGATTTTAGAACAATCATTGAATGTGTTGAGGATGGTTATGAGGACAGACCAAAGACGATATGGATGGACTGTGTGAATAATGATAAGTTAAGAAAGGGAGTAAATATCTAACGAGATGACTGTGAATAGGGATGAATGGAAGAGAAAACCATATTACGTCGACCACAAATGAATGGGACAAGGAAGACGCAGCTGATAACACAAGCTAAATTGGGTTGTATTGGATTTATGACAGTGACATAGTTCAGACATGTTTAAAAAATGTAGATTCTCATTTTAAATGCAATGAGAATTGTTAAGCGATAGGATTGCGTAGTTAAACCCTAAGTTACTTTTGTTCTGACCAAATTACGTTAAATTAAGTTTATCTAATTGCATGCTGTTTCCATCTGAAGTGGCAGTTTTCTATTTTTTTATTATGTGTTTATAGTATACATTTACCACAGTACTTATTTCACATATTTACAAGCACTCCCACAGATATATTAAGAAAGTAACGAATTGAGTTTTTAATTTGACCGGCGCCATTGATGTGAAGATTTAGTTGAATAGATAAGTCGACATTATAATTATTATATTCAGTGCCATTATGTAATTAAACCGAAGGCCTAGTTTACTAGTCGCCCGCGGAGTCAAATAATATTCGGACCAATTTTAAGTAAACAAGTAGCATTGTTGTTTTGGTGGAATTTATTTTAACGTGTTCCGTAGTTCGCTGTTATTATTTGAAATGTCCTTATTTTAGAATGTGTAAAAAGGCTTGAAATATTTTAGGATCATAGTAGAAGCTTGGACAGGCACATTGCTAGCGTAAGGTTACAGAAATGTACAAACTTTCAAATAAATTTCGAATACGAGATGCACGGCTCCTAACGTAATTGTTTCTTGTGCATAGATAATTGCTGGAATTTGATATGCTTATATGGTTATAAGCCTTCCCTTAAATGCCAGCAATAACTTGGCAAAATTTTATCATAATTGGATGCTGTTCATCTAATTATGAAAAATAAAACTTTTAATTTATGTAAGATAATTTTTCATTCTATTAGAATGAAAAATTATCTTATACCTACCTATCTAGCTGAATTTTAGACATCTACGAGTATAGCTTATTAATAGCTTCAAGTTTTAGACTCAAGATAAAAAATATAATACATGAATAATTAAAAAGTCGCTATTCTTCCTAAAATATTTTAAGCACATCTAGTACGTATCGTATGTATATTAAGAAAAATAAACAAGAACAATCAAAAGGTGACGATTAAAAAGTGTTAAACAAAGGATTAATAAATAATACGCATTGTGAATGTATTAATGCATCTGCGGATTTACTTACGTATTTATGAAAATATGCAATTTGTGTCAATCCTCCATGAAGCTCCATAAATCCTTCCGCGGGTTTGGAGTGACATCTGCACTCGACCCTACCGTCCGGTGAAGCTGTAAAGGCCAGCTACGGCCAACAGCATTAGAGTAGTCCGAAAAAAATAAAAATCCCTACAAACAATACCACCATTGTAGCTACAGGCCGACCAATCCGGGGCACTCGTGGGCGCCCACTTGCTCGCTATAAGTAGATTAAGTAATATATACGCAAGATATTGTGGTACCTACGATATGATACGAGGATGATTCGATTGATATTTAATAATTAATTTGTAATCATTTTGTAATTATTTACATGTATTCTGCAAGAATACAGTGTTGCAAGCTGGTCTTACAATATTGAATATTATGTGCAATATATTCAGCCTGTATATATTTCAAAAAAACATAGTGATTACCGGCTCAGTGTATAATATCCGTAGATGCGGAAAAATTTAAGTAGGTATCCAATTGGCTTGCTCAGAAGAGTTCTATTTTCAAATCAAGTTCTTGTATATTTTTCTAAATAGTTAAGTTTTGAATTCAGGCTAATTCAGCCAAGCTATTGAAATAAATGTACGTAGAATATTACAGTCCAAAAATATGCCGTGATTCTAACTACTAAACTATTACTTAAATCTTTTCACTTCTTTAAAATATTTCACGTACCTAATTAGATAGACTTTATACGCATCAGTCATATCATCAGCTACGTTAGATTACTAAAATAGTGCGAAACCCTATGTAGTTTATGGATTAACCATGTGGAAAATTATTTACATTCGCATAAAATATTCAAAATTTTGTTTTCGACGTTCGATGCAAGCGTATATCGACGAAGAGCTATTCCTGTCAGACCAATAATAATTTGTTTCGACTCTATGAAGCTGTATCATGCCGCCTTTAACTCTAATAGATTGATATTATACCCAGTGACACTACATACTACTATTGATAGGTACACACCTAATACATCGATCACGTGTTCATAGTTTATGAAAGGCTGAAAAAATACTTTTGAACAATACTTATCGATATCAAGTGGTCCTCGGTAACATTTGACAATAAGCATTTATGGTAGGTGTATGTGATGTACCTCTATAAAGATAAAGCCCTGAATTTGACTGAAAATAATGTTCCTATACAGACCTACGTATATATTTTCTTAAGTTACCCCTGTGGATCTTTAAGACAGGGAAAGACGCAAAATGGGTATCATCAATATTTTTAATTTATATTCCAAATTTAAAATTTTGTAAAATCCTATAATCCTACTCAACACAGTAAACAGATTAACATAATCACCAAAATTTTTACGTTTGAAATTAAATTATACTGACATTAGAATTAACTGCATATTAGAACTTCATATTTCGAATACCAAAAAGACCGGTCTTTTTTTTTTATAATTATATCATTTATGTGTAAAAAGTATGGAGTGACAATGCGCTAATTATTTTAAAACTAAAAAGAACGCGGCAAACCGTAGTATATGTAGAGCACCCATGACAATAAATAATATGCAACTTTAAGAATATTTTATGCGAATAAATTTATCATATCGCACCTCTAGATCTAAACAGGTATTAACTCAAAAAAACTCATTTTACAGGAAAGGCAAAAAACTGATTGCCAAGTCCCTGTGCTTTGCAGAAGTTTTTTTGTATAGATGTATGAACGTTAGTTACAGTTGGATATGATAAATATCAAGATTTTTGGATTTTAATAAAGGGTTGCATCTTAATATTGAATTTTTATAGTTGTTTCCTTATAGCATATCAATGAGGGTATATTTTTTGTACTATTTTTAGTTAAACCCATATTTGTGAATTTCGTTTTTAGTTGGCTCCCTTTTGTAGGTGCAACTTGTGCACAAAATATTATAGTATTTAATATTATTTATAATTAATACAACTC